ATATATATATATATATATATATATATATATATATATATATATATAAATTCTGTTTTTCTTTTTAAATTTATTATATTAATTAATATTTTTTTACATCTTAAATTTTGCGTAGAACAATACAGCGAGCCTTGCTATTTCAAATGTACCCATTTTCTAATTTCTTCGTATACAATTATGATCTTCCTTAACTAGCTCTTGTTCCTGTAACTTCTTTTTAATTCACTTTGAACACTTGATGAACTTTATTATAATATTTCTGTTCCAAATTTTAAAATTTTTTTTATTGCTGAACATTTCTTGCAGTTGTAGTGCATTTCTAATATAAATCTAGAAGTCAAACGTTCTTACAAGTCAATATGTTCTGGTTATTTAATTATATAATTAAACAAATAATTTAAATAGAAAATTAAATAATTAGAACTAGGAGCGTTTAATTTTCAAAGATTTATATTGAATTTTTGTTAAATTATTAGAACACCAATTAAATCATGATTTTTGTCAATTTGTTGTTTTGATTAACTAAATAATGATTTTTATTAATTAAATAATTTTGACTTTCCATGTGTTCTTTAGTCTTAATCAGCGTGTAACATACTTCTGCGTTTGTTATCGCCTGAAATCTTTCACTGTTCTGATAATTCCTTCACTTACCTCATAAACGAGTATATCATTTTATATTCAAGCACTAAGGTACTAAACTAGTCTGCGTAGAAATGTATTTTGTCCTATATACTTTCCGTTTGTTTCACACGTATTTACGTAAATATTGTATCATACAACTTTTGTATAATATATGAAATAATAAAATATATATTCAGTTAAGCGCGTTCGTATTTCCCTAATTGAGGTAGGTATGTCGCATGCGCGTAATGTAATTTAAGAAAGAGACTTAATTAACTTTTGATTTTTATAATTTTTATTTTTGCTTTTAATACGTACATCAGTATATCGAACAAACTCGAGTATATATATATGTTCTCGTAATGAAAAAAGTTCTGTTAATAATTTATCGAAAAACTAAGCTACGTATATGAATTGATTGCTCTTCGGGAAGATATTAATTGGAGCATGAAACTTGTCCTATATATAGTTAGATTTTGGTGTGCGCGGATAAGATACCACCGTTATATAATCGTCTGTGTAACCAACGTTACCAAAAGTTTTATAAATGATACCTATCGCGAGTCGTCTTCTGCTGTAACATTGCGAACATCAATAGACGTTATCAAAGAACGAGTCGCGCACTAACTGCGCGTATAATAGTAGATACAAATACAATTTGTTTCGGGAATATAATCGTGTTGTAATCGTCGCTCACAAGGCAAGCCAGCGAATTGTCTGTTTCAGAATGAAATCACGTTTATATCATTAGGCCAGTTCCTAGAACCGAATAGACTAGCGTGGTAACTATATTTCATATATATGCCTTAAAATTGAGATTCGTAATTTATCTAGATAATAATTTGAATGTTTGAGTACGAATCGTAATGTATATATAATGAACGATCGCGAGCTGCATTTCGCGTTTGGAGGATGTTTCTTCGGTTCCACGGCACGGCCATGACCTATCACAACTTGGCTGTATTCGGAAAGACAGTTCGCCGCTTCCCTTCACGTTGATAATACGTTAGAAACACATCGCTCGTGCCCTGACGAATACGCCTACAATACGATAGTCTTCAGCAGCTCCTGGCCCTGCGGCAGGAATTGCTGTTGAGCAACAGAAGAATATTCCATATCGATCGGCTTCGTGTTGTCGTAGAGCGCCGGTGCTTCGCATAGAATCATGAAGGTTCCGGCTATCGAAGCTATCGTGAACATCCACAGGAAGAGGCGATCGAGGACCATCGCGACGAAACCCCAATCTTGATCCTCCTGCGATGACATAATGGAGAACATAGTAATCAATATGTAGGACGATGTATTCAAACGAGTACACGGGAATATGTATCTATTGCAGAGAGCATGAATGATTTTGAACGAATTTTTCCTCTATTAAAATTGATTCTTTTAGTTCCATATACACCTCGATTTTATCCGTAATACTTTCGTATTTTTAAAAGCAACAGAATGTATGCTTTCTTTCAGATGTTTGCATTATAATTATACTTTTTAGTTCTACCCTTTTTTTTATTTGTGTTACCAGATTTCTGAAAGTGCTTACCGCATTGAATTCGTCCTGGCGTTGTATGTGGTGCTGGATGAACATGACATTGTGCAAAGCCTTTTCCAGCTCGAAAGGATATTTCTTCCTTGGCGTTACATCGCTCAATGACTCGTCAAGACCGGACATGACCGTTGGAAGTCCATTGTATGCTAAACTGCCGACTAGGAATCGATTATGGGCAGTTGTCGTATGTAAACCGTTGCAACCTGAAATAGCGATAACTATATATAATCATTTCTTTACAATATACAATGTGGGAAAGTATATAAACACCTTATTGCGTCTGGTTGGTATTTTTCTTCTAATATGCGAGTAATTTTGATTAATACATTAAAAGGTATAAAATGCACAATATATGTATAACAAAGGATCTATTACAGCAATTTGAAAAGATCGTACCATCGATTCGTTGATGACGGGCCGAATCCGGCGAAGATATTATCGATGATTGCGCCGCAGCCGCGATAGCAGCATTGAACTTGCTTTTTTTTCCCGATTTTCCTCTTCCGTGTATCTTGTGCGCGGCAAGATCGTTGAGAAGATCGTCGGGCACTCTCATCAGAAGCAGCTTCGGCAATTTTCTGATGAAGATCCTTCTTACCCAAGGTGGCATCTTATGGGTGCTCGGTTTGCGGTAGTGCACGTTGAGAATAACGATCGTTATCACGACCGAAAATCCGACTAGGATCATCGTGAAGAGTAGATACTTGCCGAGTAATGGTAGCGCCAGCGACGTGGATGGTATAATCTCGGATATCAGTAGGAAGAACATGGTCTGGGATAGCAAGATGTTGATGCAGAGCGCGATCTTCTCTCCAGAATCGGCCGGCAAGTAGAAGGCCAGAACCGATAGGTAAGAGATGCTGACGCACGGCACTATAAGATTCACCGTGTAGAACAGTGTTTTCCGACGCAAAGTTATGTTGAAGAAAATATCGGGATACGGCTCGAGGCAACACGGGTAGTACTTTTTGTGACGTTCCGCCGGAACACCCAATATATCCCATTCCACACTTGGATAATATTCTCGCAGGTCGATACCTACTTCGACCTTGTCGCCCACGTTTTGATTAATATGCTTTAAGTCGATCTGAGGAAAATATTTTTAAATGAGTGACGCACTAGAGATTCATTTTTTACATGAATAGAAAAAAATTTACGAAGGACTGTCGACCTTGAAGTTAAAATAATGACGAGTTAATAAAAGGCACTGAGAGTACAACGTGGTTATTGGTGCGTGAGTTATCGGAAAAACAATATTTAATTATTATTGACAAATACATACAAATATAAATTCAAAAGTGTAATTTTAACTCCGCTTTGAGCTACCTACATGAATTTTTTAATTGATATGCTTTGTCTTCTAAAATATTATACATAATTAATGATTGTCGTGTACATGCGTGCACAACGATATTGTTTGTATAATTGTATGTATCCGTGCGAATCTATGAGTGTATATGATTACAAACTCTATGTACAGCTTTTAATTTTCATAATTTCCTTTCTATACATGGTAAAATTAATCAGGGATCTGATTAACAATGTTGTAATTACCTTGTATTTGTTGTGTCAAGATATTAGATTTACTTACTTGGAAGCCATCGTACGTCCACGAGCCGAATTTCATGAAACAGGTCTGCTGATCGAAGGGAAAGTATCTAACGTCTATTTCGCAGGAAGATTTAAAAATTGCCGGAGGAGTCCAAAGCACCCTCCCAGTGTAATGCAGAATGGCCTTAGTCATTGTTGTCACGCCATATTCTCCATCTGCACTGAAAATAAAGGTTCGTTGTTTCGAATTAATGCGTTTATAAATTTTTAATGTGGATATAAATTCACAATATTCGCATGAAGAATCAATAAAGCTAGGAATGCAATTTGCAGTACATCACGCTTATATTTTTTGATCGCGATAATCGTAAAAGAAATAAAGAGATACTAGAGCACGCAGCATCACGTACTTGTTATAAAGTACGATGTCGGGCAGCCATATATGCTCGCTGGGCACGTAGAGTTCAGTGACACCTCCGTATTCTAAGGGATCCCACTGGAATTTATGGTCCTGCCATTCCTGAAATTATTAATTCAGCTTCGGTCATGTTGGTCTTTTGACTCGCAACCTCAACACCAATCAAAAGTCACTGGAATTTTCTCATATAACTTAACACTTACGTGCTCTAACCAGACGTTCGTCGTTAGGATTTGATCCTTTAAATTCTGTAAATGACGAGCAGGTTTTATTAAAGGTGTACAGAAAGCCCCTTATCAGTTGTACATGTAATTTATGTATATGTTGCATATAAACTTATTAATACAATTTTCGGTAACGGCAAAATTATATCTGTAGCGCTACGTACGAGATCTATCAACTGTGAGAGACGGAGCCCTAGTTTCACAATAACAGTATCAGTATTGTTGGATACTGGTCGAATCAGCCGATTATAATTTGAGAGCAGATCATCGTAAAGTCTCTTAGCGTCTGGATTGCTGTAGCAGATCCCCACCGAGAGGATCAGGATGATTAAAGAGAACATCATTTTGCCTTGCGATCAAACGTACGATTAAATAAGGCTCATCAAATGCATCCTGCACAAAAATATTAAGAAACCGACATGTGATTATCCGATTTATTTCGTAGATTTATCTGAGATAAATCTTGAAATATCTGAGAACGTTATTATCTAAAAAATGAACAAATTTAATATTTTGAAAATTATATAATAT